CCTGTTCATCCCTTGGGTGCTTCATATTGTCTGAACAACATGACAGTATTTACATTCTTGGAAGTTCTGTGTCAATAAGGCCATCCAAGGGCCTCAATTCCCTAAGAGACTGACCCAGTCTCACAGCTCAGAGATTCTCAGAATGTCAGAGTTGGAAAGAATCTCCCAGACTACTGAGTCTCATATCAAAGTTTTGAGATGGGGAAACTGAACTTAGAAGAGAGCTAGGACTCAAGTCTAAGTTTCCTGATACTCAAATTTGAGTTCCATTACATTACCCTTCCTCCCATTCCCAAACTCTACTCCTCAAGGTCCAGAGGCCCTCCTCCCACTTCTATGTTTCTATCCAGAAATGCTCCCTTACAGGCCTTGCCCCCATATACTCTAGCAGGCAGTATTCCCGTCCCCACACTAACTAACTTCACCCACCCACAGAGAAGGGAATGGCTCACTCTCACATCTGTGCACAGAAGCCTCTCTCCAAAGGACCTGCCCACCACAGATCCTCCCTCATCTCTTTCTTAGATTTGGTGAGGAAGTACCTAGTGGGGTCCTGAATCATTGTAAACACACAGAAATAACTAAGTTCTCTGAGAGCTCAACTCCAAGTGGATATTCAGGGCAGTGTCCTATCTCTGGTTCACTTCCCTTCCTATTGAACTGTGAGCAGTAAGGATGATCATTCTCATTTTAAAGATGAAGAAATGAAGCTCTCAGAGATTGAATGACTTGCTGAAGGTGGCATGGCTAGCGAGAGACAAGCCTTCTGAGTCTGAAGGATATCCTCACTCCATAGCCCCACAGTTGCTCTTCTTCACCTGTTCTGCTGATATCTAAGTCTCCATATTCTCCTCTAACTGCAAAATACATTCCAACTGAGTTCTCTGCAATCCAGTTTTCCAAAAAAAGTTTGCAGAAAAGGGATGACAGGGAAACTTCTAAGTCAAGTGTCTTTAGAGAGAGGAAGAAATAAGGCTTTACAGGGATGCTAGAAAGAGAATTTTTAAAATATTTAAAAAAACCTTTCAGGATCACTAGACCTAAAATCGGATTTATGTTTCCCCTCCAGATTCCCAGACTCTGCTTCTAACCCTTCAATCTTGTTCCATTTCTTCCCGACCAGAACATACCTCTGCTTTGTACACAACTGTAATCCCAGGACCTAGTGCACTACTAATGGATTCTAATTATCTGTTGAATGAATTAATGAGCAACCTTGGGCAAGACTTTGCCCTCCCCTTTGGGCAGTTTCCTCACTGGGAACACAACAGGGACTGGACTGGTGATCCGGGCCAAAAAGGTAGGCGCTATGGCGCCCTCTGAGAGCCTGGGCGGGCCTTGGACAGCTTTTACCAGGGTCGCCCCATGGCTCGTAGCAGGGATGACACAGTTCTGTCACCACTGTCAGCCCGGTTCGAGTGAGCAGCTACGCCGAATGGGAGACGAGACCCGAGACAAAGGGGCAGGGCCGAAAGAAGGGAGGGGTGCCCACAACGATCCCGTGAGCTGACGCACCCCGGTCTCCCCAGCGGGCAGCAGTGAAGAAGACCTGGCCCCCGGCCTGTGTGCCCCACCCGCTCCCAGAATCGGCCCGAAAACGCCAGGCTGCCACATACCCCTCACCGAAAGCGCCCGACCCACATCTTGGAACAAAGCGGAGAAGGAACGACGTCACCGACTCCCCATTAATTCCCATCCTAACCCTCCGGCCCTTCTAGGCATCTGGAGGTTTCTGCATCTCTGTGCCCCCCAGGCTGGAGTCCTCCCGCCCCATTGTGAGTCCCCGGGCTCTCTGGCCCCGCCTCCAGCTAAGTTTTGCCTTACCATTGGCTGGGAGGATGAAAGGGCTTGGAGATTTCAGCCAATATGAGCAGAGCCCTAGAAGGGATGGAGCCTGGGGGAGGGCCCTGGTTAGGGCGGGAAGAGGGACCAATCTACTGGGCGCCCAGGCACCCTTCTTCGAACTGAGACTCCCTGAAGTCACACACCCAGAATTGGCTGCTTAGTGGAAAAGTCATCTTTCCCACATGTCCTGCTCCTTTCAGCTTCAAAGCCAGGATTGGCTGCCGTTTATCGGCAGCATATAAAAATAAGTGTTGAGTGCCTATTATGTCATTGTTCTAGGCTCTGCAGATACTGTAGTGAAGAAAATTAACTTGCTGCCCCATGAGACTTCCCTTTAAGTCGGGGGAGACAGTGGACAAACAAACACGTAGAAGTAGTAAGGCGCGGTGGAGGAAGGAGGGAGAGAGAGAGGGAGGTAGCAGTTGAACTATTCTATAGATGACAGGGAAGGCTCAGACAGGAAGTGAGCAACTGAGGAATAGGCATGTGGGTATCTGGTAGAGGAGTATTCCTGATAGATGGAACATCAGGAAGCAAAGGCTATAAGCCAGGAGGGAGAGTATGCACATTTGGGGCCATAAGGGCTTTCTTTGTATGTGTCCCAAATAACACTGGAAGGTTTGGGGACTAAGGAGTGATGTAATTTTACATGTTCAAAGATTTATTAGTTATCAGATATGAAAGGAGCCAAGAAACCTATTTCTATAAATTCCAATTTCTTGCTCGCAATCCTTAGTCATTCTAACAAAACTTGCATGTAAGTTTCACTCCATAGCATTAAAAACATTTCCTCTGGCTGCTTCGTTAAGAAGAGTCTGAAGGTGGCCAAGAGTGGAAGTAGACAGATTAAGAAGCTACTGCAGTATTCCAGATGAGAAATGATGGTGGCTTGGACTAGTTTAGAGGTGATGGAAATGATGAGAAATATTTCTGCATATATTTTGAAGGCATGGCCAGTGTGATTTGCTAATGAATTAGATGTTGGTTAAGGATGACTCCAGGGTCACTGATCTGAGCAACTAGAGTAAGATTGCTTTTTTCTGGAAATACAGTAGACTGAAAGAAGAACAGGTTTAGGGAGAAGGATCAAGTTTTGTTCTGGATATGTTAAGTTAAGGATGCCAATTAGACATCCAAGAGTAAGTATCAAACAGGCAACTGGAATAGGAGTCAGTTCAGGGAAGAAACCATGGCTAGAGAAGTAAATTTAGGTGTCACTGTATAGGGCAAGATGGGACGATCTAGAGAATGATTGTAGATTTTAAAAAGTCATCTGAGAATTGAGATTTGAAGCTCATTAATCAACAAATGTGTGCATACATAAAGGTATACTTGAAGTATACAAGTTCCAGGGCCCCCTACCATCTAACTTGTTGCCTTTATACACAAGCATTTTTTTTTCTGACAAAAACCCACTCAAGGGTAAAGGTACTGAGGATTGAACCCAGGATCTCAGGCATGCTAAGCAGGCACCCTACCAATTGAGCTATTCCCACCCCACTGTAAGTCTTTTAAAGAATAACTAGAACTATCTCATTATTTCAGCGCTCCTTACTGAGACAGATGTTGACAATGGATAGTGTGGAAGATGAACAGGTTGGACTGGAGAATAGTTGACAGTGGCTTGGATTTTAGCACTGTATTAGCTGCCATTACCACTTTCCCTCTAAATGGTTCCTGTAATAGGCTGCACATATCTCAAATCCTAAGGCGCTCAGTAGTGTGGCTCCCCAGTGAGAGCTTGAGCATCATCAATTTTTGCTCATTGCCAAGGTAGCCTAAATACTGACTACAGCTTTCACTAGTGGCCTCTTTCTAAAATCAGGACATGCTCCATGACTTGCTCGGGTCGCTACAGGTAGGGTGTGATTGCATTGTTCTGTCCCCTCCTCCCCAGGGGAGCAACACAGACAGTTTGGTGAGGGGATATAGCATTTTTCAATCTTACCCAAACAGGAATCAAAAGTATGTAATTAATGTGTACAACCTGGTGGATGAGCATGTACATATGCACCCTGTGGCCTTGAATTTACAGCTGTTGTTACCACTCCACGTGCCTCCATGTATGTGTCTCTGAATATATGTTGTCCTGTGATTACTCTGTCCATGAGTCTCACTGTACTCAAATCTTGAGTTTCTATCAGCTCTATGCCTCTCCATCCACAATCCAAATTGCACCAAGTTGGAAAACTGAGTATCTTGTAAATGCATCATTCATATACAAGACATTGCAACTAGAGGGGACTTGCAGGAGAAGCCTGTTAGATATCATAAAATGCCAACTGTACATTCATTTCTAGAAACTTCTAAGTCCATAGACTGGACAACCCATGGTGGAAAAATGTTGTTTTCAGTAATTTGGAAATTCCTCACTAAGCATCATTTGAGGAATATGCACAGGTCAGAAAAGGGGATGGGACACCAAACATTTCTCTTCTACTGTTTTCATGCAAGGCACACAGATGCTTTAAAAAGGAAAGTGCACCCATCCTACTTGGCATTCACCTGGGTAAAGTACAGGCCGTTGGTCCTGTGTATATATTAGTGGGAAGACTGTTGTGGTTCAGTGAGGAGTAAGTCTAAAATGTCCATTTTCTGGGTCAAATACTTGTATACTAGGTACTTAGAGCCAGCTGACATAACACCTTCCATTTATCCCCCTGAGGCAAGTGTCTTACAAGGCCCCATCAGGGTAGAATATGTCCTAAAGTTAGCAGTAGGGAATTTGTTTTTAACGTTCTACAAAGCAAAAGACACCCAGTGAGTATTCACAATTTGTCTAATTCCTAGCACGTTTTCATGAATGTAAGCTTTGCAGTACTCCAGGAGGTCAACACCTTCACAGAAGTGTCTCCCAACATGGAACAGTACTCAGCAACTTGTTAGCACCCAAAATCTTTTGACATTTCCTCCTGGTCTTGAAGGCTGAATTACCAGGGTTGGGAATATCTTGTGTGTATAAGAGGGTTAAGCGTCTAGCTCCTAGTACTTTTACCATCATATTTGAATGCCTGATCTCCTGGACATAAATTCCGTCTGATTTTAAAAACTGGGAGCTCTGTCATGCTGCTTACTGATAACTGTTTACCTGTATTGTGGATTCACGAATGTAGCAGAAGCTATGTGCTATAACAAAAGCTCCTCCACACTTACTCCAGGAATATTTTTTAAAAATGTGTACAGAATAGAAGCTCTGGATCAATGATTTCTTGCCCTCCAAATCCAAAACAGATTATAACCCATGTAGATTCTGTGACGTCAAACAAGAAATAAACTATAGCCAAGGCCTCCCTGCAACACAAATAAGTAGGCTTTCCTGTAAGCAAAAAGTCTCTGGCGGATGTTTTATCAACTGAATGTTTTCTCACACTTATCTCAGGAATAGGTTCTTTTCCTGTTTTGGAGTTGCTGAGGTAAAATAAAGTCTAAGCTGTGACTGAAGGTTTTTACACATTCAGTTCTTTTACAACAAAGTGACTCACAACTGGTAGAGAACATGGAAGGAGGGTCCCCACTGGATCCACAGTATGAAGGCTGAGCAAGAAGGACAAGTGGGCTCTGGATGGAAGGTTTTCAACCAGATCAGCAAAATCCTGGGCTGCTCCTTTACTCGCTGACGAGAAGCATATTACTGACTTAGAGCTCACCTTCTAGCTTCAGATCTCAACAGACAATTTTAACAGCATGTAACTTGATGACAAAACCATTCAAGGAAAACCCACTTTCCCTATTTTGGGGGGAAATATCAGGACTTAGAAAGTCCTTACCACTGATTAATGAAGAAAAAACCAAATGAAATTATGGCTAATGAAAAGCCTCTGTCACTTGAGGCAGCAAAAGGAAAAAATAAACCTGAGAAAAACTGGAATTTCAAAAGAAACAAAATAGACTTGGCAATCATGAAAGAAAAACTGAAAGGAAACCACAGTGTAAAACATTATATATGAAAACAGAGCTCTAACTACATATACAGAAGAGAGTAAAAGACTTTAGACAATACTAGATGCAACTTCATGCCACTCTGACAGTTCAGTAAAAGAAGATGACTTCCAGATATATATTACCAAACTTTATAGAGGTAGAAACTTTAAAGAGTGCAAGCATCAAAGAAATCAAACTGTTGCTTAAGATTTGTCCCCCCCAATTCCCTTCTCCATCAGAATAGATCAGGCCCAGTTATTTTTACTCTTCAAACAATAAATCCCACATTATTCTAACTCTTCCAGAGTAATTAAAAAAAAAAAACAGATTCTCCAAATAATTCTACAAAGCAGACAAAACCTTAGTAAATTAAACCTAGCTCTGCACTTAAAAAAAAAAATCATGAACAGGTCGATTTTATTCCAGGAGTGAAAGGAAATTTCCATTTTTTAGAAACTTACTCCCATGAAAATTACAAAAAGAATAAAGGACATGGCCTATAAAATTTCACTGAAAGATTTTAAAAAAATAAAAACATGGTAGAAGACTAATAAAAACATAATGAAGACTCAAAATATAAAACAATGATAATAATTGCTAAAAGGTATAGTATGTGCAAGCACTGTTTTAAAGGCCTTACACTTAGGAACTGATTTCACCCTCACAGCCCTGAGGTAGCTCCATTTTATTCATGGAAGAAATATACACAAGGAAACGATCACAACCTACGAAAGTGGAAGAAACAGGATTTGAACCTAGAGTACCACACACAAAAATCCATACTCTTAACTACTAGCTTATATTGTGACTTCTAAAAATAGGAAAAGAAGGAAACTTCCTAAATCCGACAAAAATTGATCAGAAACCAACAATGAAGTAACAGTAGAGAGATGCCAGAAGTACATGTAGAAGATATCAAAAAGGGCTCTGCATGCAACATCCTATGAGGAAATGTCACTTCTATCTTTAGAACCTTCTAGTCTGGTGGTGAGTAGGGGAGAGTGTGCCCAATTTAAGGATGGTTCAATTAAAGAGCTGAGTTTTAAAACATTATTTATTAAACAACTAGTATATGAAAATTACTATCTATATATCAAAAGAAATAGATACTATACCAACAAAAGCCCACAATAAGTTGGTATAAATATGTAAGTATATGTATGCACTAAATTGAGAATAATTTACAAGGCAATTTAACAGTTGCACATTGTAGCACCAGTTAACTCAAAGCACTGAGGTCAAATGAATAGAAGTCTAAGGGGAATTAAGTAGCATTTGAAGAAGTCTTTCAGAGATGAGCTGGATCTGGAAAGTTCTGAGAGACAGATTAGTAAGAAGAAACATTTTTCTACATATGGAATATAATCAATGAGGGATTATATTAGAGTAGAAGTTTTAAAAAGTAGATAAGGAAGGCCATAGCCAAGGTAAAGAAAACAATGTATCAGTCTTGGAGAATGACTTTATATAAATGGAGGAGGTGGAATAGAGTAAGAAAGTATCTCTGTCCTTGAGAAGCACACAATCTGATTCTGGTTATGGGATGTGTAACTAAGAGATGAGAAACATCTTAAAACAGTTTTTAAAAAAAGAAAGAATGAAAGAAACCTACAAGCATATGAAATCTGTAGTTCTTACGTCCCCTATAGTGCGGAAGGACTACACTGTTGCTCCCACTCTCCCACCTTCATGACCTAGTAGAAACCATGTAGGGACGGTCCACTTAGATTAGCATTCCCAAGAGAAGACCAAGGTAAGCAAGTTTCTTACATACAAATCTTAACTCAAAGTTCTTTGCTGGATGGAGAATCACACCTTAAGAAATGGACCGAGCCAGACCTGAGTGCTTCTCTCCAGTGTGAGTTCGCTGGTGGTGATTGAAAGTGGAACGCTGACTGAAGGCTTTCCCACACTCAATACACTCATAGGGTTTCTCTCCAGTGTGAACTCTCTGATGCACAATGAGTTGTGAGCTGTCACTAAAAGCTTTCCCACAATCTTTGCATTTATAGGGTTTTTCTCCAGTATGGGTTCTCTGATGTACCATAAGACTGGAGCTGTAACTGAAGACCTTCCCACACTCATTACATTCATAAGGTTTCTCACCAGTGTGAATCCTCTGGTGTATAATGAGGTGTGAGTTTTGATTAAAGGATTTTCCACACTCATTGCATTTATAAGGCTTTTCACCAGTGTGAAGTCTCTGATGTCGAATGAGACATTTACTCAGACTGAATGCCTTACCACACTCATTACATTCAAAAGGTTTTTCTCCAGTATGAATTCGCTCATGGTCAACAAGTTGAGAGTTTTGATTGAAGGCTTTCCCACACTCACTGCATTTGTATGGTTTTTCCCCAGTGTGGAGGCTCTGATGTCGAATAAGACATTTACTCCGACTAAAGGCCTTGCCACATTCATTACACTCATAAGGCTTCTCCCCGGTGTGGATTCTCTGATGGTCAATAAGATTTCTGTTAGAACAGAAAGCTTTCCCACACTCATTACACTTGTAAGGTTTCTCACCAGTGTGAAGTACCTGATGTCGGACAAGGCTTTTATTCCGAATGAAGGCCTCCCCACACTCGTTGCATTCATACGGTTTCTCCCCAGTATGGGTTCTCTGGTGGTCAATGAGTTGGGAACTCTGAGTGAAAGCTTTTGCACATTTGTTACATTTATATGGTTTCTCCCCAGTGTGGAGTCTCTGGTGCTGAATGAGGTGGGAGCTGTGACGATACGTCTTTCCACAAGCACTACATTCATAGGGCTTTTCCCCTGTGTGGATTCTCAGATGAACTATGAGCTGAGAGGTCTGCCTGAAGGTCTTACCACACTCATTACACTCATAGGGTTTCTCTCCAGTGTGGATTCTCTGATGCCCAATGAGGTGTGAACTCCGATTAAAAGCTTTGCCACATTCATCACATCGATAGAATTTCTGTCCCTTCAGAACTTCTTGATCTTCTGCAGGACTGGAGGACAGATCTGGATGGTCCCCAAGATCTTTATATTCATCACATCCATCTTTTGTGGATTTTTTTTCATCCTGCTGTGTTATTTCCAAGAAATCACTTTCCAGTCTGCTCCCTTCTTCATCAGACGGTTGTGTTCCTAACTTCTCTAAAGCGTCTTCACAGGCATCTCCAGCTCCTGGTCCTCCAGGAAGTACTCCATACAGTACTCCTGAGGTCCTATCAGGTGACTCTGATCCTTTAGAAATCGCCTGCTTTGGAGGCAACTCTGAACTCTCCATCCTTTTCTCACCTGCTGCCAAAAGAAAAGAGAAAACACCTTTTACTCATTTCTTAAACTATTGAGGTAACAGAATCATCAGAAGCCTACACACTCGAAAAAAATTCAAATTACAGGTAAGGAATGAGGGGACACACTGAGAACAGGAGAGAAAATGTGAAATAGCTCAAATTTCTCTTCATGGACCAAGAGGGGAAGCTGGTCAGTAGAGGAGGTGGAAGAAGAGTTAGCAGCACAGATGTTGAGCTGGCATGGCCAAGTGACCTGGCTGAATAGAAGGCAAGAGACCAGACTGTAAAGCATGGTGTAATCTTCCAGAAGCTGTTCAGATGTGACGTATCCTTAGTAAAATGATGAAGGTCCTATCCAACCATGACATCATATGGTTCCACAGTTCTCAGCAAAGATGTTGGAGAGAGACAGTGGGGGCAAATACCTCAAATCAAATAAGAGAAACAGTGTAGGCAAACACCAGAGTTGAAGGGAAATTTATATTATGAGGGTATGATTAGGAAAATGTGTACAAAAAGGAGTAATTCTGGCATAACAGGATAGTGACAACATCTGGAGAAGCCACTTGTAGAGAAATACTGGGAAAAAGTATTGAAGGGGCCAGCAGAGCTCTAAAAGTGGGGAGCCCTTAGTCCCCAGAGCACTGGACTGGTAGGTGCAGCACTGCATTCCTATAAAAATTAAGAATGGCATCAGTAACTTGAAACATAAATCAAAATATGTCTTTGGTATATTGATAATTGGGAAACATAAGGAAAATGAATAATTGAATATTTGCTTTTAAATTCTAGGATTCTTATTATATCTATCAAAATTCATCAAATTGTGCATCTCAAGTATGTGCAATTTACTATACAGGAATCATAAAGGTGTTAAACAATTTTTTTTAAATCAAAAGACAAAAACAAAAACAACAAAACAAGAAAATTCTAGGATTTTTTAAATACAAAAACTGGGAGAAGGCAGAGCAACCAAGGTTATAGCTTAACACAAAAATGTTGGTTCCTTGCAATGACATCTACATCAGGGTTATAAGCCTTCATGCTAATTTAGTAAGTAGAAGCTGTAGATGTCTGAATCCCTGATTCTAATCCCACCCTCTCCAGAGAAGGCTACTGTCCTAGACTTGTCAATCCCAGAACCTCTCCTGGCAGGAAGCCAG